TGGTCATCCACACTTTTATATCTGGGCATCACAAATACTTACAACTCTCTGTATAAAGCTTACATTCTTCTAAAACATCTCAGAGACTTACTGCTATTTATACCTATATTTTTTGGTTTGGTCGCATTCATAGCATCAAAATGCAATATCTACCGAACTTAACTGGAGCCCTCCTCACTTAAATCCTAAACCTCTCAACCCAATCTCATGCTAAACCATAGCTTGACTATTCCCCCTTCTCAATAGTGATGGGCTAAACCTACCCCCCCCCCAACCCTGTTTGGTTCACGGTCAAACAGCCAAACATAATGAAAGTTCAACCGCAAACTTCGAACAGAGGGAACAATTCACTAAGCGGTATCTTACCTCATGTGAGTATGCAGTAAGATACCACACAGATACTAAAAACATTCTTTACTGTTTCAGCTGTCAGCAGTGTTCCTCGCTGACAGCTGAATGTAAAAAGAATTGCCAGCATTGCCCAGCAATTAATTTTTTTTTTAACCGTGTGGGGTCGTCCCCCCCCCCATCCATACCAAGCCCTTTGGGTCTGGTATGGATTTTTAGGGGTCCCCCCCAAAATCCATACCAGATACTTATCCGAGCATGCAGCCTGGTAGGTCAGGAAAGGGGGGACAAGTGAGTGCCCCCTCCTCCTGAACCATATGAGGCCACAAGCCATCATCATGGGGGGGTGCTTTGGCGCAGGGGGGCTCCCCCCAAAGCATCTTGTCCTCATGGGGATGGGGACATGTGCCTCTTCCCCACAACTGTGGCTGATAGTTGTGGGGGTCTGCAGGCAGGGGGGGCTTATTGGAATCTGGAAACCTCCTTTTCCAAGGAGGCCCCCAGATCCCACCCGCCCATGTGTACATGTTACCACTACCCATTCACAAAAAAAAAAAGTGTAGCAGAAAAATGACAGGAAACAGTCTTTGACAAGTCCTTTATTAAAAACAAAAATGTAAAAAATGTCCCAAAAAGTAAATCCAATGTCAATCACGATGCCCGCTGCCACTGCCGACCCAAAAAAGAAAAAAAAAAGAACGCTCCACACTTGATGCTGGTTCCTACCATCTTGCAGCTGCGCTGGGATGACAGTTTTAAATAGTGTGATGATATCACAAGGGTACAGGGTCACCCCACCCCTTGTGACATCATCATGACCTGTGGTCAGGTGCATTGTTTGGCCAATCACAATGCACTGTCGAACACAAGAATGGCCGATGTTCGAGTCAAACTAACGTTTGGCACGAACATACAACCCAACACTACTTCTCAACACACATTATGCCTCTTACAGTTCTGACAAGAAGATAACCCTCACTCCCTTCTTTTGGTTTTTGCAACCCCCTCCCCCCTGCAGCCTCTGTAGTTTCCTCCCTTTTTTTTCTTACCGCTTCCTTCCCTTTTCATCTTTTCTCATGCTGAACACTTTCTTCCTCTCATTTCTCACATCTTTTCCACCTTTTTACCTTAATCCAACTTATTGCTGGCTTTCTGCATACTAATCTTTTTTCCTGGTCCCCATGTTCTTTTTCTTTTGTTCCACCCTATTTTTCTTTGATTCAGTTTTTGAGTTCACAGTTTACTCATCTGAATTACAATAGGGGGAACCCATTTCTGTTTTATTTTCATTATGCAGACTCAAATAGGCTCATTGGTTAAATATCATAAGACAAGCACCTAAGGCAATATACTCTGTACATAAGATTATGCCTTTCTACAACATTCCCAGACCTCGTGCTTTATTCTTGCTTGTTCCTGATGACAATGTGATTGCTTACTGCAAATGTAAGGTTTCAGCATTTAATCTACCTTTACAATTGTGTAAGCTCTCTGTAATGAGCCGCTGACTATTGCATACTTTAAGCTAATAATGCATGTCATTGTCTGCATTTTAGTAACATTTTTGGTTTTTGGCACCACAAATTTCAATCAAAGTTATCAGCTCATTGCGTACTACAAAAAACATCTCCTCCCTCCTATATTATGGAAAATAGGAGAGGTGTTTTGTAATCTTAACACCCAGGGTGGCAACCCTACTCCTTCATAGATGCATACAGTGGTTGATCATTGTCACCCTAGGACAGGAAATGTGTTACTGACAGGATCATCAGGTAATGAATATAGATATAGAATAGAGATATAGGTATAGATACACTCTAATGCTGCAGTATGCAAAGACATTTTCGACAATTGCACTCTTCCAACATAGTGACAACTTAAGGAAGACCCTTTTTTGTTCCATTATGGTTGTATCCCTATGTACAAAGCCAGCTCCATAAAGATATGGTTTGACAAGCTGGGTGTAAGGCCTGCCATAGCAGGTACCGGACAATATTTGAGCCACATATAGGCAGGCTGAATGTACCCAAGTTGATTGATCGATCAATTTGGATAGAACCAGCTTGCCTGCTTTTACATATGATTATCACTAGCGGCTGGTATAGCTTCCTAACAGTACCCACTGTCTTCTCCAGTGCTTACAATGGCTCAGTGGAAAGAATTCCTCTTTTAACGCTGTCTGTGTTGATGGGGAAAAAGAGTGAACCCGTGGTTGCAGGAAAGAAATTTGCTGTGTGTATTGTCTGCCTATCAAAACTCAACATCAACCCTATTAAACAACTTTGTAATGATTTGGAACCTTGAGGTTCAGGTCTTCTCATCCAATGTCAGTTCCTGATCTCACAAATGATCTTTTGGCTGAATAGTTCTACCATAATACTCTATCTATCTATCTATCTATCTATCTATCTATCTATCTATCTATCTATCTATCTATCTATTGTCAGATACACTCTAGTGCTACAGTATACAAAGACATTTTAGACAATTTCACACTTCCAACCTAGTGACAACAGTTTAGGGAAAACCCATTTCTGTTCCAGCATGGTTGTGTTCCTATCTACTGTACAAAGCCAGTTCCATAAAGATATGGTTTGACAAGTTGGGTGTAAAGAAACTCAACATCAACCCTATTGAACAACTTTGTTATGATTTGGAACCCTGAGGTTTGGGTCTTCTCATCCAACATCAGTACCTGATCTCACAAATGGTCAATGGTCTTTTGGCTGAATATTTCTACCATAGTATCTATCTATCTATCTATCTATCTATCTATCTATCTATCTATCTATCTATCTATCTATCTATCTATTTTAAAAATCCTATAAACCATGTAACCATTACATTCTTTTCCTAAAATAAACTGCACTCTGTATTTAAGTGCCCCTCCCTTAGCTTAAAGCTACATATTTGACCTATACAATGAAATCTTGCAGCATTGAGACTGGCAGGTGTGATGTCACAGGTGTGTATCACATGCCCCAGCACTCCTTGCCTCACACATATATTTGCACAAGTACAGTGATCACATTCTTACTGAGGCAGAACCTATAAGATAACTGCGAGAACCACAAGAGCACTGCACCACCCAACATGAATTTACTAGGACTTACCAAAAATTGTGGATCCTAGGATCCTTACTGCTACTAACTACAGGTAAGCTGCCAATGCATAAGATGATATAAAATAATATTACTAAAGCTAAATGTGTGTGTGCTGTATACTGTCAGTATGAAAGTAGTGTACTGTTTTACTCACTGATCCATTTGCTATTCTTATGTTGTTTTTATAAGTAAGGTCTAAAACATAATTGTTTGGAAAGTGTTTTTTTTTTTTTTCATCAAATAAAAGGTAATGAAACCCATTGGAATTCGATAACTAGATAGATAATTAGGTAGATAGATAGAAAGATAGATAGAGAGATAATTAATGAATGGATGGATGCATGGATAAAATTGTTTATAGAAATGTCATTACTATACCAGTTCAGCAGTGATTCATGTGAGAATTATTTTGTCAGGAGAGCAGACTTTTGCGTCTTGTGTGTTACACATTTCAGACATTGCCACTTTACCAGCTTTCCAGGAACAGACATGCAGACTTTGATATATTTGCCCTTGGAAATTTATAGCACCCCTTCAATATATGATACTAATCCTGCCAGTTTGGGTCACAGCCATATATGCAAATCGTTTAAGCTGCAATAAAGGCAGGAAACAGAATGATGACTATATGCAGTATAAGGAAATATTAACCACCCTCACCCATATTGCCCTTCATGAATCATAAAAAAATTTACATTTTAGCTATGGTGCAAATGATTTCACAATAACATTTTCCTTACTTACAATACAGTATATATACATACACACACACCCACATATAATATATATATATATATATATATATATATATATATATATACACACACACAGTATAATATACTATATTGCCATGAAATTTAATGGCATCCCAGCCTTAGGCCGTAGGGTTCCATAATGAGTTGGCCCATCCTTTGCAGCTATAACAGCTTCAACTCTTCTGGGAAAGCTGTCCACAAGACTTGGGAGTGTGTCTATGGGAATGGTTGACCATTCTTCCAGAAGCACATTTGTCAGGTCAGGCATTGATGTCGAGCAAGAAGGCCTGGCCCACAGTCTTCGCTCTAATTCGTTACAGAGGTGTTCTATCGAGTTGAGGTCAGGACTCTGTGCAGGCCAGTCAAGTTCCTCTACCCCAAACTCACTCATCCATGTCTTTATGGACCTTGCTGTGTGCACTGGTGTGCAGTCATGTTGGAACAGGAAGGGACCATCCCCAAACAAAGTTGGGAGCATGAAATTGTCCAAAGTGTCTTGGTATGCTGATGCCTTAAGAGTTCCGTTCACTGGAACTAAGGGGCCAAGCCCAACCCCTGAAAAACAACCCTGCACCATAATCCTCCCTCCACAAAACTTTACACTTGGCACAATGCAGTCAGGCAAGTATTGTTCTCCTGGCAACTGCCAAACCCAGACATGTCCATCGGATTGCCAGACAGAGAAGCATGAATGGTCACTCCAGAGAACACGTCTCCACTGCTCTAGAGTCCAGTGGCGGTCTGCTTTACACCACTGCATCTGGCGCTTTGCATTGCACTTGGTGGTGTAAGGCTTGGATGCAGCCGCTCGGCCATGGAAACCCATTGCATGAAGCTCTCTATATACTGTTGTGCTAATCTGAAGGCCACACAAAGTTTGTAGGTCCTTAGCTATTGATTCTGCAGACAGTTGGCAACTGCTACGTACTGTGCTCTTCAGCATGTGCTTACCTCACTCTGTCATTCTACGTGGCCTAGCACTTCGTGGCTGAGTTGCTGTTGTTCCTAGTTGCTTCCAATTTGTTATAATACCACTAACAGTTGACCGTGGAATATTTAGTAGCAAGGAAATTTCACAAATGGACTTATTGCACAGGTGGCAACCTATCATGAACCAGCAAACACAAATGCTCCTGCGCTTGGGGATGGACTCGATGCAGGCTACAACCACATTAAGAATGTCCTGGAACATGCACACCTTGCTGCCCTCAAATGGACCGGGGGAATCCAAATATACTGAATGGGGAAAGAACAAAGAGAGGTCACACAGGCCTAGTGCATTACCATAAAAAATGTTTAATAAAAAATAAAGTAGGTGTTGTACTCACAAACGACAATATAGTCAAGGCACATCATAAAAGAACAGCTGGGTCAACACCGCGCTGAGTAACAGTCTGCAATAGGGAGTTTAGACATCCAAAAGGCTGACCGTTTCGAGGACTTGCCTCTTCCTCAGAGCCACAGGCAACCTATCATGGTACCACGCTTATATTCACTGAGCTCCTGAGAGCGACCCATTCTTTCCCAAATGTTTGTAGAAACAGTCTGCATGCCTAGGTGCTTGATTTTATACACCTGTGGCCACATGGAGGCGATTGGAATACCTGAATCCAATGATTTTGAGGGGTGTCCCAATACTTTTGGCAATATAGTATATTATTATTATACAGTATTTATATAGGTTTGCTCAGCGCTGTACATTATAGTGGGGGACAGTACATGAGACAATACAGTAACAAGACAAAACACGAGGGGGTCAAGGGCTCTGCTCTTTATATATATATATATATTTTGTGTATACACACACACACCCATACAAATTTATGGATGATGGAAAAGACATTTTATACTTTCTTTGTCAAATTATTGATTAGCGGAGGGCTTTTTGGTTTATTTCAACTCACTTCATAATATCCTTCAAGTTATATTTTATAAGTACATTTTATAAGTAGGTATTCTAAAAACAAAAAGACACTATCACAGTTTGACCAGGTATAGTGTTAAAGCAACTGATGATACTGGTGGTAATAAGTAAAAATGTTGATCTGTTGTTTTTCCCTGTTTATCATAAAATTATATATTTCTGTGATAAGCATGGTGTAAATTGTTACACATGAAACCGAGGCATTAAAAAAAAAAAAAAAAAAAAATATATATATATATATATATATATATATAAATGTTTTTTTTCTATATCACACCCCACAAATGAACAGAAGCGAAAAACATGTTTGCATAGAGATGATAAAAAATAAGTAAACAGTAATCCAGACTACCTTAAGGCACATCTGAGCATTCCGTGAACATCAAAACGTAGAACAAATGCTCCAAAAATGTTCTATGCCCAAAAAGGTACATGGGCTTTTGTCGCACATAGGGCAGCCCATTCAAAAGACTGAGATGTCCTATGTGTGTAATGTAAAAATGCAAGAGGAATCCTGTGTTCACAAGACGAAAGGTGTGACCCTAGCCTTAATCACCAGTTATCTTTCAATGGTCTGATTGCAGTTTACTGCATTAGCCAAAATGTAAAAGTGGTAAAGGAAAAGCATGAGTGTTTTTGTCTTTATGTTTATAGGGATTAAATTTAAAAAATTTAATTTAAGCAATTATTTTTTAAGTGCAGAAATAAAAATAAAATGGATTATGTACTGAATTGTAATTTTTGCAAGTCCAAGTCTTCTGACCAGGATTTACAACGTTTATTACATTTCTCTAAATATGTATACCACTAAAATATTTTTGAGCAATTTAAAAAGGGGTTTTAAAATCAATGGTGTCCAAATGTAAGGCAGATTTCATAATGCTGTGCTTTGGCCACAGTGCAGGTGTATCAGTGGTTTTCGTGTGTTTTAGCCATGGTCCCGTAGACTTTCTATTACGTCACTCATTTTGGTGCATTTTCTGGAAGTTCTGCATGCTGCATCTGAAAAAGTGCCAAAAAAATGTAACCTAATAGAAAGTTTATGGGACCACAGCTAAAACTGAGGGTAAAGCTTCTGAAAAATGGCAAATACACCTGCATATTTTGTTTTGATTTGAATAAGGTTGCATACTGTATTTCTTTGATGATAAACAGCATTGGCTGCTACTTTTTTTTTTTTTTATTGATTGATTGGTTGATTATTTGATTTTTTTCCCAGTAACATGTTATTCGTTTTTTCTGAATCCAATATGAAGGTTTCTAAGTTTGGGTTTTTCTTCCTTGATACCTTATTTTGAGTAAATATTCCTATTATGATACAACATACTTCTGCTTACATTCATTAACTTACCAGCAAAGACTGTAGCAACTATTAACAATCGGCTTTATGAATTTTTCCACAAAGCTCAAACATCAGTTTTGTGAATTTTTCAATTTTCAAAATGTTAATGTTAAATGAAAATGCTTTTCCAATAGACTTACTGTTTCCATTGGGAAGCTCTTTGGTGTAACCTTCCTATGCTTGAAAGTGGAACGCCATCATTTTTTGCTTTGGATAGAGCAGGGAAGAGTTAGGACCTCTAAAACCATTAAAACAACCCTGCCACTATACAAATGAAACTCGGCAAAGCTATATTTATAAAAGAAGATTGTAAATACTTACCTTACCTGCTACCCATGTTGCCAAAGCTGGGAAATGGTCTTTAAAGTCTACTGGGAAACCAACACTTTTGGGAAAGAAAATCTCCTGGGTCTTCCATAGCTCTTACTTTCTCCTGTAGAGGTCAGAAGGAGGAATCATTGAGAGCTGCAGGGAACCCAGTAGTATCGGTTGCCCAAAGGACTTTTGGAAGGAACCATTGCTCAACACTGGAGCTGTGGTGTGAGCAGCAGAAAAAGTAAGTATTTACAGTATTCTTTAACGGGTATATCTTTCCTGGGTATCTTTTGTAGAGTGACAGAATCACTATAAAGGCATAGTTTACTTTTATTATAAAACTGCCTATGTAGAAAAGGGACATCTGTAGATAAAAACAAGATGTACAGCTTTGATTAAAGTTAAATAATGCCCTTGCTATAGATGTAGGCCATTTACTGTACAAACCTTGTTAAGCCAGACTGGAAAACTCTTAGGACATTGCTAAGGATGTTGCTAAGAGACGCCTATCTGTTACTGATCACCTTCACCATCACAGGAGTGAGCTCTTTCTTGGATTCAAACCCTTTAACTGTGATTTCTCTCACCTGATACAGTAGCTCTGAGCTCAGTGTTAAAGAGCTTACTCTTGTGATGGTGGTGGTGATCAGTAACAGTTAGGTGCCTCATAGCAACATCCTTAGCAACATACCAGGACTTTTCCAGTCAAGCTTCATGAGGTACATAAATGGCCCACACCTACATCAAGGGCATTATTTAACTTTGATCAAGCTGCTCAATGTGTTTTTTAATCTACAGAAGCCCCATAGCTGCATCATTTTTTGGTAAAGGTTACCCTTTAAGCTGACCAAACTTATTTAACAATGTATGATAAAGTCCAGAAACTGATTTTCTGTGATGCTAACAACAACTGCCAGAGTCTTTGTAGGTGTGACCACACTAGACCCCCATTTAGTGCCCAAACCTCTTAGCTCACGCCATTGATAGAGAGGTCTGTTATGTATAAAGAACAAAAGAACAGACAAAGCACTTTGTCCTCATAAATATGTTATTTATTACAAAATATGTGTAAAAAGTTTGTCACAAGATTTAAGAAATGAATCACGTTTTAAATCAACAGTCAGGTTAAAAAAGGCAATGGCAGGCCAGAATCATAAATAAATTAACCTTTATCAAATTTCAATATTCAGTACTAAAAACTCTCTAATAAAACTGTAATGCTGGTTGCTGATGGTGTGTTTTTATATACAGTATATGAAGATTTTATGACTGGCCTGATCATGCCTGATTCACTTGACTGTGTATATTTTACAAGCAAGTAATCCCTTTACATGAGTAAGTGCCTTTTTACAAGTATTTTATAAGTAACAAATGCATATTTCATTAGGACAAGGAGCTTTGTCCTCTCTTTTATTATTTTACAATTTCTTCTTCACAATTTCCATTAGACCTACTATGACTATTTAATGTGAAGGCTTACCTAGACAATCCATTTAGTTTACATTCAGTCATAGAGCACCTTGCTCAACATAGTTGCCAACAGATCTAATTTAGAATATAAAACAGTGGTGGAACTACCAGGGTCGTAAAGGTCGCTCTTGCGACCTGGCTCTGGAGTTCCACCACTGTGCGCTGTGCGGGGGTCCCATAAGTCCGGACTGTCCATCTTCAGCAGTGTTGCTGACGGCAGGGCTCTGAACTGAGATCCCAGAGCTGACAGTTTAATCCCCCCCGTACGGATGGTAGAGGAGAGAGAGAGAGCTGGCTCCTTTGCATTTCCAGGCAAGCCGCTCCTACCCGCACTGCCATTGTCAGCTAGGCATTGTCAATCACCACGCGTCTCGGCCAGGAGATTCCCCACCGACACCCGACGATCACCGTGTAATATGCTGCCAGTGGGGATAGACCCTGTGGGTGTAAATATAACACTGGTCTCTCTCCTGCCGAGCAAGGACATGCTGCATTGTGTTTCTTTGCACAGGAAATTACAAAGCAGCATGTTTTTCTAGTAAAACACACACAGCACAATCATTGTATAACAGCAACAGCAGCACATAGTCAACCCTTTGTGATCGACCACCAGGATGTAACCTCATTACCTGCCTCCCGCCACCCCCCTTGTGTCATTAGTAGAGATGGAGTGCGAAGAAATCGAAAAATTCGGATTCGACAGAATCGGCGAATTCGTGGCAATAATTCGATTCGTGTCGAGTAAATTCGCTAGATGATGAATTTAACTTAAACATAAAAGGGTGGTTTCGTAGACGTCTGAGGTGACATTATATTAGTGCAGAACACTGTATCAATTTAATTTAAATGCACTAGGAGTTCTGCATGGGGAGCAGAGAAATTCAATACTGTCCACTCAGCTAGTGAACATGCAGCATGAGTGCCGTCGATCTTAGAATCACGCTCACACATCACTCATTGCCCCAGTCACGAGGGCCACAAAACCAGTGTTATGGAAGCCACAGTGTGGCGTGGCATGGGCAGCAGCAATGGACTGGCACATCACAGCAACACTATTAGACCAAATTGGAAACCTGCAGGAGTGTGAGGAGACACTGAAAAGTGGGCACTTGGACAGTGGAAGCAATGGGAGGCTGGTGTTACAAGGAACCCATGTCTCACTGTTTGGGACCCAGCAGCAGCGTGACCAATGCTGTACGGTTGACGGGGGCACTCATGGCAGATTACTGGTCTGGCAGCAGCAATTGGGCAGGATACCCGTAATCTGCCAGCACCCTATGACAAAAAATGGAACTCATCCTGCAGTGTGTGAGGAGACCTCAAAGTGGCACTATGGCAGAGTGTGGCGATGGATGACAGCAGCCAAATGGGAGTGCGCGTTCAGGGACCCATGAGAGACATCTGGACCTGGCAGCAGCGATGAGGAGGTTGCATAGGGGCCCATGTGGCAAGATTAGGGGACCGGGCCAGGCAGCATATAGGAGGCCCGTAATTCTGCCAGCACCACTATAGATCAAGAGAAAGGTGGGGGGAAGGCACAGCCAGCAGGGTGTTGGTGAGGAGACCTGAAAGTAGGCGACATGTCATGAGACCACTCTGGACCTGGGCAGCAGCTATGAGGAGGCGGTATCATAGGGGCCCACATGGCAGA